TGAGTGACAGCCAATGATACAGCATAAAAGTCAGTGCTAATCAAAGGTAATGTAATGGCAGGTCAACCTCAGGCAATCATAGGGCATAGGGCAATCATATCCGCAGTAATATAATGCAGGCAGGAAAAAAAAACGTATTACGGGGCACCTGTATCAGCACTAGTAACAGCAATTGTTTAGTGCTGGCAAAATACAGACATGTATCGGATTCCCTGAGGGAGGAGCCTGCCGCGCTGACGTCATTCTGCCGTAGCCACGTGGTTAGGCCGGCAGCCATTTTGGAATCTGATACATCATTCCGGTATTGTTTGTTCCTCAAGCAATTGGCTTTTTTGTAAAAGCCATCCTAGCGGCTAGTTGGCCGCTGGATTGCTTTTACAGGTGGCTGGAGAACCTTGAACTGAAGCCGGCAGTTCCACCAGCCTACCATAGAGCTTTTCGAGAACTGGATCAGCTCTATGGTATAGGAAACCGGAAGTGACTAGTACTTTGTCACTTCTAGTTTCCCCGGATGTAAACAGTGCCATTTCTATATTGAGAAAGCATCTGATCACACAGTTCTTGGTGTGATCAGATGTTTTTAAAGGCAGAGGAGACACCTGGGGTCTAATAGACCCCAAATATCTCCATAAAGAGTACCTGTGACTACCTATTGCTGTCACAAGGGATGTTTACATTCTATGTGACAGCAATAAAAGTGATAAAAGTAAAGAAACCGTGTAAAGAAGGAAAAAAAAAATTAACCCCCCCCTCCTGCTTTGCTTGCACGCAAAGGTGAACACGCGTGTTGTTCCCGCATGCATATGTAAGCGCTATCGCACCACACATGAGGTTTTGCTGCGAAAGTCAGAGGGGGAGCAAGAATTCTAGCACTAGACCTCCTGAGTAACTCTCCACTGGTAACCTGTAAAGGCTTTTAAAGCGTCGCCTATGGAGACCTTTAAATACCATAGTTTGGCTCCATTCCACAAGTGTGCAAAATTTTAAAGCGTTACATGTTCGGTATCTATTTACTTGCTGTAACATCATCTTTTATATTTTACAAAAACCTGGTTATTATATTTTGGTTCGTGTGCATTAAAATTCATGAAAGTGTACTTTTTCATGTACCTTGTGAGATTAAAAAAAAATGCAAAACCCACCATTTTATTATCTCGGGCCTCTGCTAAAAATATATGTTTGGGGTTTTTTAGTAATTTTTTTTTTAGCTGAAAAAGCTGACTTTTACAGGTCCGTCTACCAATAGTTTACCTCTGTGATTGGTAGGGCATCTAAAAAATATCCCCATTAAAGTGGTAGTAAAGTCTCTTGACCTATTCTGTGCCTTGTAGAGCATTCTGAAATCACTTACATCTAGGTGTCTTCATGCTATACCAACACCGCTCCATTTAAGAGATTTCAGCCAATTTTTGTCGGCAAGATGTCGTTGCCACGTGAGTATTTTGTCCCCAATTGATGGCACGCTCATTGTGCCATCAGTCTCTTTATATGGGTGCCGTGCCTCCATCATAGCACTCCACGGCATTGCATAGCAATCCCGCAAGATTTCAGACCCATTACTACTACTAATCACTGCACGTGCGTGAGATTGCCTCGCAGACACAAGAGAAAATTAGTGTACCACTATGTGGAATTGGACACCGCAAATATGGCACCGGCCTTGGCTGGAACACAGGAGCAAGAAGTCAAGCAGAAAAATACAGTAAGAATCATGCTGTGGTGATAACTAGTAATGAGGTATGTTAGCATAGTGGCCTTATGTTTTCTGAGGATTTGTGCACATCGATTTACTACCACTTTAATCTTGTCAGAAATCTTGTGAGCTGATATATTCTGGTATTTATATGACTGTTAACAATTCTCAATAATCTTACCTAGTAAGAAGAATGCTGGAATTTTTTGTCCTTACTACATTTTACTACTGCTAGCTGCACATTCCGTGTACCTATACAGGAGTGAAAGATGTATGGCCAGCGAGCTGTGATTATTTGAAAAAGAAAACTTCCTGTGCTCTTTGCCTGTGCTGCACTCTTTTAATTATATTGTTCTTAGCTGGCTCTTTTGGACTACAGAACACTATCCCTCCTTTTCTTTTATGGTGAAGAGGAGCAGGGGAGGTATCCTGTAGTCCTGTCCTAGGGTGGCAGTGAACCTAGTATGGCTCCTTTGTGCAATGAAGTGGGTGATGTCACCTTAGGAAAGGAAATATGTTGGTGACAGGATCGCCATGTGGGGAAAAAAAGAAAAAAGCCTGTAAAAATAAAACTAATGCAGCCACCACATGTCAGGAATATATACTTTACAATTTTATTTTGGGTTTAGGCATACAATAATCCCTAATATAAATTTTGAGCGTAGGTGAGCGCTGAAACTAAAGCACTAGCATAAAGGTATAGGTAACAACGCCTTATGGATAAAATATAAAAAGTGCAGCGCTACATTAAATGAATGATATTATAGTGAAATAATAAAGTGCAATCCCAATCTGACATATAGCGACAAAAATAATCAGCGTAACAACAGTCAAGTGCAGCATATGAAGGAACAAATAAATATCAAGAAATCATTTAATAAGTGTGGAACAGTAAAGTGCAGTATATAAGGTGGGAATAAATAAAGTCCATTTAATATATCAGTGAAGTAAGAACTAAAAAGTGTCTCTGTAAATATAAGTACGGCAATCACGGTGAAACACTGTGAAGTGATCCAATAGGGAATCCACCACCTCTGTCAGATGTACACTCACCAGACATCTACTGGTAAACCGCATGTAAGCACATCTCATCTAGACAACAAGTAACAGCAATGAAGCCTCTGTATAGGATGCTCAGCCAAGGAGGGCAAACTGCAGGTGGACCCTCTCCTATGAGGAATAGCTCACCAGAAGAGCCAGAAATTGTATATAGTGTAGTCATTTTATTAAATAATAAGTAAAAAGACAAACCACATGGAGGACAGCTAAAATGAGGGTAAATGGAGTACCAAGATGGCCGCTGTTCTGACCTTCTGCAACAGCGGCGTGACGTCAGCGAGTGAGGCTCCACCATATACAATAATACCTGGTAGCGGCTTTTTCTTTTTTTTAACAGATAAAAAGCAGTTTCAGGTTAAGCAAGAAGTACATTATGCTGGCAGAGCGGCTCTTGGAAGAATGCCTGAATACTCATCATATGCATATCTATTTAATAGGAGTTTGGAGAACCTTATTGATAATGGGATATTATACAGAGAACAAAATAATATTGAGGAAATGTGATGTCAAAGCTCATCTTTCACTTAAAGTTGTCCCTCAAGGAATAAAACACTTAACACTATGGAAAGGAAAAGGAGAAATTTGTTCTATACTCCTGACACATTTCTTGTCCTAGGGTGACAACACTCCTTTGCTTCTTCAGCATCGATATATTACCGTGAGTGAGTGTTGTCACCCAGTATAGCCACCACCTTTGAGGACTGGTGCATTATATACATTTTTGTTAATGGGTTTAAACATATTATCTAATAGGGTGCACTGAATCGGCATGCTTAGATAATATCTCTAAATTGCAAACATAGTTCCAATGCAAGTGTACTCATTCCCCTGGACGGTTACAGGTGATGGAGGGATGATCAAGGTAACCAGTCAAAGCACAGATTTCTATGCTGGAGCAATTTAGAATGGGACAAGGGGAGAGAAGATGGTACTTTTGTGTGCAGGATTGCGCATGAAGGTCCACGGAGAATGCAGGATATCGTCTGCTGCACAGTCTGATGTATTTACACCATCGGTATGGTCATTATTGATGCTGTAAATGCACAAATGTGAGCAGATGAACTTTCTTTGGGGATTCAGCAATTGTGTTTTACAGGTTAAGCAGCCACATAAGTGAAGCACTGGCACGGTGCCATTGTGTGAGGCTGTTAACTTTTTCCTTTCCTTCACTTGATGGTGAGCCGCTGATCTGAAATAAGCAACATGCATTTGATGTCAGAACATCTACTATGCTTGATCCAAGCCAGTGATTTGCAATTTTAAACCCAAGTCAGCTCCTATATTTTCACACTTACCGCTTCCCTAAAGGATATAGTTGTAATGTACAGCGCTGAGCGAACCATTGGCACTTTATAAATACTGTATAATAATAATAATAATAAGTGTAACCTTAAAGTGCCAACACTGGAAATCTCCCCTCCCCCACTGTATTTACCTTCGGGGTTGCCGAGCTGTCAGCACCACCACAGCCAGTCCAGTGGTCCAGGAAATCTTCTCTAAGTAGCTCTTACAGCACAAACCAGATTGATTCTGATTTGTTAGAATCCATCAGAATCCATCTTGTCCGTTCTGGAAGCACTGATGAGGAGTGGGGATTTCGAATCCCCAGATCGCTGGAATGGCTGAGGGGATGCTGAAAGCTCAGCAAACCTGGTGGTAAGTATAATGATAACTGGGGTGGGGGTGGGGGGGTTTAACTTCACCTTTACATTTTTTCTGTACGGGTGAACTACCCCTTAAAGATCAGATTTAACCTCCCTAGCGGTCTGATTATGTCACATATTTCCATGCAAAAAAAGCACAGAAATACTATTTTTTTTTTATTGCAGGCCTGTAATTTTTAGGAATAACTCACTGAAATCTGTCTGAATAAGAGTCTAGTAAATATCGCGGGTATGATAAATTTGAAACACGAAATCATAAATAATCATAAAAAATAATATAAATAAATTTAATTCAATAATATAATCAAACCAAAAACACTGAAATTTGAAATATAGCGCCAAGTTCGCACATCACTGAGCAAAGTCGCAAAATCGTTTTCAGTGTCTGATGACGAATTTGCCCACAAATCATTATCACTCAATTCTGCAAGTGGTTCTGATTTACTATCACTGTTCTCTAGCTGGTCTAAAACCGCTTTTGACCTAAAGGGACGCTTTTTGGACGCCATGGATGTTTCTCAGTTTCCAGGCAGAAAGAACAGTAAAAATGCAGGCAGGGCACAGGACAAAGCACTAGGGACAAAATGTATGTGAAATGGTTTGATACAGTAATGTTATACTATGGGATTTTAGTGAATGTCACTTTTTGTCATTTTCAAATTTCCCGCCTTTCCGTCCCCCCGTACGTTCCGGCGCTCGCAGGGGACGGAACCCAGATGACAGATGCTGGCATCCGCCGGATTACATTGCTGGGGACACTGCAGGAGGGACATCGCGGGAGCGCAGGACAAGGTAAGTGATCGAGGGATCGCGGAGCAGCGCCGCATGGTAAGCCCGAGTGTAGCTCGGGGTTACCGCTTGTGGTACTGAAACTTTACCCCGAGCTACACTCGGGAATACCTCCAGGGAGGCTACAGCGCTCAGCTCTGTTCCTGTGTGCTGTGTGGATGGTCTCACACAGCACAACGAGCTCTCCACAGTGGTGTATCTTCAGTTTTCACCCTGCTGTTCAGATCTGAGAGCTCCTATGTAAATTCTGCAGTTTGTATGTATGTAGGGGAAAGATGACTATAGATAAACTGGTACAGCTGATGTAGGAGGATTTGTTTGGCGTCAGGTGATACGCTGAGATGAGTCACATAACTGGGTATATGTGAAGGTTTACAACCACTTTAATATATACAAGAGTTTTTAAGAGATTCATGGTGAAAATGTTTGTTTATAAATTTTTTTCATGTTTTTGTATGGGGATACAGTTTGTTTTTTGATTGGGGGGGAGGGGTTTAGCATAATTTTTCTCACTGGATATACATTGGAGTGCTGCATTTTTTTTTCTTCTTTTAATTAAAATGTCATGTGTGAAAGGCATGAAACACATATTATTGTGTGCTGGCTCTATTATACTTGATAGGTGAAGTTTTTCACTGCAGTGAATCGTTTTATATAACATATGGCTGTTCTTCTGTAGGGCCAGGCCTGATGAATTTTTTTTTTTTAAAATCAGGAATACGTTTAAATTGAACAAAAAAATAACACCTGAACATACACATTCAAGAACAAGTGCAAAGTTCCAGAACTTAGATTAGAAAAATGACATCATTCCCAAAAGCACAACTCTCAAGGCTCAGTTGCATACTCTATTAGGAATTATATATAGCAAATATGAGATCATCAGTATAACCAAAGTCACCAGACATGCCAGATTAAAAAAAATGAACATATAACAGATATAGCAAAGGCACATTTAGAGTACATCCACCTGAAAATTCTGTCCAGAACTAGATCAAGTGGAGATAGACCTGGTACAGCCAACCAACTTCCCCACACCTTCTCGAACTTCCCTGGGCACACTCAGGATTTCACAAATCTCTGGTAGTACCAACGGAGAAAAAGTGTACCATTCCTAACAATCTGGACATTGTGCTTTCTGCTAATCTGTGGTATGTATCACAAACTGTTGTAAATTAAATTTACATAATATGATCATGGACCTGTCAAGGTTTAATTTTTTTTTAACCCATTAGATGTCAACTTGAAATGCTGTTATATATGACCATGAGGGGCAGCAATATGTGATTAGTATTACACAGTGGTTGTGCTTTACTGTTCCTGTTCACAGTGCAAGCCTTAAGCCTGGTACACACAATGAGAATATCAAACAAATGATCATCCATTTCTTTTTTTGTTAGGTTTTTTTTTTTTTTTTTTTTACGTGTTAGTTTCATAAAAAATGAAGTGGTTAGTTGGTTAGTAAACTTATGAAAATTCTTGTAAAACAAAGTACAACATCCCACGATGATGTAATGCAGGGCTTGAAATTTCCACTTGCCTGCTCGCCAATGGCGAGTGGAAATTATGGTGGGGGCGAGTGTGTCCCCCAGGGCCGTCTTGCTGAGCAGGCTCGGAGCTCAGGCCGGATCTGTCATTGGCACTGGGAGCCGTCAGACTGCTCAATAGCTGAGCGCAGTGGAAGCAAAGCAAGGAATGTGTGCTGTGCTCTCTGCCTCCCCCTAGAGTGCAGTACCCAGATCTGTGAGTGAACAATGAAGTACTGCAACTTTTTATGGGGGGGGGGGGGTGTACGTGTACATGTGTGTGTCTGTGTATACATGTACAATTGTACATGTGTCTGTGTATGTACATGTGTGTATCTGTACGTGTGTGCATGTACATGTGTGTGTCTGTGTGTATGTAAGTGTGTGCATGTACATGTGTGTGTATGTACGTACATGCATCTGTGTGCAGGTGCAGACTGACCATTCAGAAACTCGGGCACTGCCAGAGGGCCCGGGGTCAGTAGGGGGCCCCATGAGATGCCCCTGGTACCTTTTTCATAGGCTTTTTTGAGTTTGGGCAAGGACACGGGGGCCCCATGAGTTGTCAGTTTGCCTGTGTATGTATGTACATGTGTCTGTGCGTGTGTATTTCTGTGTATGTATATGTTTCTTACGGTCCTGTGTGTGTATACATGTGTCTCTGTGCATGTGTGTGTGTACATGTGTCTCTGTGCATGTGTGTGTGTATGTACATGTCTGTGTGTGTTCAGGTGTCTGTTTGTGTGTTTGTTGGTAGCAAGTAACTCTAAGGCCTGGCTAGTAGCTCAGGATTTGAAATTTTAAGCCCTGATATAATGTATTATAATGTATCAACTCCTGAGCATGAGCGATCTTAGGCACTCAATTTTTTTTTTTTTTTTTTTTACAGGCAAATATTGTACTGATCAAACGAAAATCGTTCGCTCTGTTATCGTACAAGAAAAATTTTTGTGTTCATACCTTCTGATAATTTTGCATGAACTGTCATGATCAGCTTTCAAAAGCTGTGTATGAACAATCAGATTATCGTATGATAGCTTTGAAAGTGGTATTTTTTTTCTCCCATTTTCTCATTGTGTGTACTAGGCGTAAGTTGGTTTACTGATTGATAACCACACAACTCAAAATAAACACTTATGCCTAGTACACACGATAATAAAATCGGATGAAAAAAGACAGCTTTCGAAGCAACCATACGATAATCTGATCATTCGTACACAGCTTTTGATAGTTCATGTGAAATTATCCAAAAGAGCAAACACAAACATTTTTCTCATATGGTAACAGAACGAACGATTCTCGTGTAATCAGTAACTTATTCATCCGTAATAAAAACAAATCAAGTGACCAAGACAGTGCATGCTCAGAAACAAAAGAATACATTACAATATAATGCAATGCATTACATCATCAGGGGATCGTAATCTGTTTTACGAAAATTTTTGTAACTCTAGTAACCTATTCATTTTCGATATGAGACTAGCATACAAAAAAACAAAACGTTCTTTCATCTGATATTCTCATTGTGGGCACGAGGCTTAAGACCTGAAGATTGGGTATGGTCCAGCTTGGACTAATGTAAGTATGCACATCCCATACCGGACTAATCCCTATTGAAAATTGTTTCAGTTTTGTGAATAAATGTTGTGTTTATTTTTTAATATATTTTGCAAAATGTGGGAGGTGTCTGGATAGCAATACATGTTTTGTGTTGTTATGGATAAATATGTATAGCTTGAAAACATATTCTCTCTTATCCTACCAGCTTTGGCCAGGTGAACTGTGCCTGCAGCGATGTGCTGGGTGCAGTTATTAGCAGGTATTAGCTATTATGCTTTATGTTAAAGTAGAACTTTACCAGCCAGTTTGTGTTCTGTAAAAAGACGGACATAAGCAAAAAGGGCACCTGTTTAGCTCAGCATATCCATGACTGCCAGTTATGTGGATCAACATGTGAAGGAAACCGAAAACCATACGAGGGCTGAAAATGGTGACCTAGGAATTTGCTTATATGTCATTCTAGGCATTAACACAGTCACAATAGAATGTTTACTATTAACCCTGTTTATTTAGTGCTTACACTCTTCGAATTAAACCAGTTATTTTAATAAAGATATGTTGCTATAAGGAAGCTTTCATCAGGCCACAGAGAGAGAGTGATAGGATGCCTGCACTAAAACACAGCAGGATCTCGCTTCCCAGCAAAGAAACAGTGACGTCTTTTCAGCCTGGGTTCACACTTCTGCGGTGCGGCATATCGCATGTGATTTGCATAGGAACCGCACCGCATTCCTGTGCAAATCACATGCGAATTCTGTGTGGTGTGATTTGAACCATACATTTTTGTATGGCTCAAATCGCACCACATCTGCATCAAAAAGGTGAAGGACCGTTTTTTGGTCCGCACTAGAATCGGGTCGCTTGGGTATTCACACCCATGCGATCCGATTCTGCACGTTGCACCATGTTTTGCGAACCGATTTCGGGGTGGTGTTAACCCGCAGTGGTGCTCTCCTACTGATTTCCACCAGCACAGGATTGCTAGTGTAAACTCCAAATGCAAGCTGCACTCCTTACAGTACTCAGCCTTTTAATAATGGGTGCTTGATATGAATGTTATGGATGGTGCCATGACAGGATTATATACAAACATGCAAAGTCGCCAGCATTCCAAATTAATTGGTTTTGTGTGATTTATTGTGAAGACAGCATCACCAAAGGCATAAAAAACAACTTTTTGGGGCTACGTAGGGTCCCCTTCTTATAGCAACATAGGGTAACTAAGTTGCTATGAGAAGGGAACCCTGCAAGAAACTTTTTTTTTTTTTTTTTTTTTATACCTTATGGATGCTGTCTGCACATGCAACAAGTTTATTTGAAGTGCTGGTGACTTTGCATTTTTGTATCAAGACTGCAGGTGTGACATGGCCCCAAGGGAAGATGTATAGCATCAGTTGCCTCTTGTCCTGAGTCTCATGGAAAATGATTGCCTCAACAATTCTGACTCTACATAATGATTTCAGCAGTAGGATCCCAATTATCCTCATTGGGAATAGAAGATATTTTGTAAAGCCGCTGATCCCAATGAGAAATCATCTCTGCCACATTTTTAAAAAAATCACTTTCACTGACTATTGGACATAACGAGTGCAACATGTATTACTACATACTATTAATGCAACATGTCGCTACTTTTTTGGTTTATTTTTTTTTCATTATTTTTCCAGTTCCACAAACAAAAACGACAACTATTTTATACAAGACCAAATTATATTACATGCTTTAAAGTAGTATCAAAGGCTCATGGTTTAAAGAATTAGCAAACATACTTACCTCCTCTGTGCAATGGATTTGCACAGAGCAGCCCTAATTCTCCTCGGGTCACCCGCTCGTGCTCCTAGCCCCCCCATGTGCCCCCATAGCAAACGGCTTGCTCTGGGGGCACTCGTGTGTACTTGCTCCCCAGCCATGCTCTTGGTGGTCTGAGACACACAGAACGTGGCTCAGTCCTCACCGGCTGTGATTGACAGCAGTGCGATGGCTCCTGCTGCTGTGTTTCAGCTATTGAGAGAGAGAGAGAGAGACCCAGGAGAGCTGATGCTCCAGTGCTCAGCGCTGGATTGAGATCGGGTTCAGGTAAGTATTGGGGGGGGGGGGGGGTGTTGCTGCAGGGGGGGGAGCAGCAAACATAAAGGTTTTTTTTTTTACCTTCATGTATAGAATGCACTAAATAAATACCTTCAGCTTTTATTACCACTTTAACCACATGCAGTCTGTTTTGGAGCATTCATGCTACTGATGACTTTTATTAATTCTTACTATCACTGTGCATAAAAGTGCACAACGATGTAGGTGGCATTTGTGTACATGGCTGTTTATAATATGTGTAGTCTACTGAGAGAGTTAGGAGCTCAACATGTTAGTCTTAAAGTGGAAGTCTTCAGGCTGATCCCATTTGCAGGTATGTAAAACCTTAAAGCAAGTTCCTATACTGTTTAAAATCCAGTAATACACTGATAAACATTAAAATCTAGAAATCTGCTTGCCACTGTTATAGACTATTTTTTTCTGCTTGCCTTGTCAGCTGGCATTGGAAGTGGACTACTCACTGAAAAAAAAAAAACCATGCCAGGTCAATTCAGGAGAGGAGAGTTTTGCCACAAAAAAACCCAAATGCATCTAAACATGCTTAACGGATAAGTTCACCTTTTGACCAAACATAATAAATGCATATTTGTTTTTGCAGATTTTTTGCCTAGTTGCAGGAGCCTGTAAAGCAATTGCACCAGCGATCAGCAGATTGCTGGTGCCATGCAGGTCTCCTGCAGACCTGTCAGTATATCTACTTGCCCGTAAGGGATGTACAGGTAAGCAGATATACTGACTGGAAGATTCAGTGAACTACCATGGCGCTCCACAGCGCCGTGGTAGTTCATTGAGAACTACAAGTTGTCAGCCGCTGTCATGACCTGTAGCTCATTCAGAACACTGTGAATGAATGGTGCGGCCGTGTGGGTGGAGCCTCGCGTGGCAGCGCTGTTTTTAAAAAGTGACAGCTTGTAGAGTTTACTTCTCTCCCGTGCTTCTGTTGGGGGGGGAAGGGAATCGGGCAACTGCTGCAGCATTGGGAACATGTTACTTGTTCCACTTTAAAACAGGTGGAACATGTAACATGTTCTCAAAGGTGAACTTATCCTTCAAAGTGGAAGTTCACTCTCTCAATCAACATTGACTATTTTGAATCCTTATGTCCTTAGGGCATTAGTAAATCGGAAAATTCACTGCTCAAAAAAAATTAAAGGAACACTTTGAAAACACATCAAATCTCAATGGGGAAAAATATCATGCTGGATATCTTTACTGATATGGACTGGGTAATGTGTTAGGAATGTAAGGATGCCCCATCATTTGTTGGAAGTGGAAATGATCAACCTACAGAGGACTGAATTCAAAGACACCCCAAAAATTAAAGTGAAATTTCATTGCAGCAACTCAAAATGGTGCTCAGTAGTTTGTATGGCCCCCACGTGCTTGAATGCATCCCTGACAATGTCGGGGCATGCTCCTAATGAGATGATGGATGGTGTCCTGGGGTATTTCCTCCCAGATCTGGACCAGGGCATCACTGAGCTCCTAGACAGTCTGAGGTGCAACCTGGCAGCGTCGGATGGACCGAAACATGATATCCCAGATGTGTTTATATTGGATTTAGGTCAGGTGAGCGTGGGGGCCATTCATTGGTATCAATTCCTTCATCCTCCAGGAACTGCCTGCAAACTCTTGCCACATAAGGCCGGGCATTGTCGTGAACCAGGAGGAACCCAGGACCCACAGTACCAGCGTAGGGTCTGACAATGGGTCCAAGGATTTTATCCCAATACCTAATGGCAGTCAGGGTGCCATTGTCTAGCCTGTAGAGGTCTTCGTGTTTCCTCCATGGATATGCCTTCCCAGACCATCACTGACCCACCACCAAAACGGTCATGCTGAACAATGTTACAGGCAGCATAACGTTCTCCACAGCTTCTCCAGACCCTTTCACGGCTCAGGGTGAACCTGCTCTCATCTGTGAAAAGCACAGAGTGCCAGTGGCGGACATGCCAATTTTGGTGTTCAATGGCAAATGCCAGTCGAGCTCTATAGTGCCGGGCAGTGAGCACAGGGCCCACTAGAGGACATTGGGCCCTCAGGCCACCCTCATGAAGTCTGTTTCTGATTGTTTGGTCAGAGACATTCACGCCAGTGGCCTGCTGG